GCGCTCCAGCCGGTGACGCATCCGGGATTCCGGCGGTGCCGTTTTTTCCCCCTTTTCAAGCGCTTCAGGCGGGCTTCGGTCGATCGGCCTCCCTGAAAGCAGGACAGGCCCCGCACACCGCCGGGAGGCGGCCCAGGCCCCGAACCCACCTCTGAGCCCTGCGGGGCTTCCTCTCACTCCGAGCAGAACAGAACAGCACCTAGAACTCTGCACAGCACAGCGCTCAGAGCAGAACAACACTCAGAACAGAACAGAGAACAGCACTCAGAACAGCACAGCACTCAGAACAGAACAGCACTCAGAACAGAACTCAGAACAGCACAGCACTCAGAGCAGAACAGCACTCAGAGCAGAACAGCACTCAGAGCAGAACAGAACTCAGAACAGAGCTCTGAGCAGCGCTTAGCACTCAGAGCAGAACTCTGAACAGAGCAGCACTTGGAACAGAACCCGGTCTGCTCTTCCCCAGGGCTGCCAGCACACTTGGTCACTTCTCCCAGGTAGCCACGTCACTCCAGCCGGCAGCTTGGCCCGTGCTCAGGGACGGCACACTTGCCCTCCCCCGGGGCAGTGAGGGCCAGTGCCAGCCTTGTTTAGTCAGGCTCTGTGCCTGTCCCTCTCAGGTGTCAGAACTCATGACCTGGTCCCCCTTAGCCAAGCTGCAGAGAGGCCTCCTTTTTCCCAGCCTGGCTTCTCTGGGCCGGGGCTGGAGCCAAGCTGGCCAGGGCTGGGCAGAGGATGCACCGTGGCCTGGTCTGGAGGGGGTCCTAGAGGCTGGTGCCCTGCCCGCGGATGCCCCACCCCTGCAGCCCCTGCCTCCACTCGGCCTTGCACAAGGCTCCATGTGCCTTCCCGAGCTGATTCTGAACGGAGGGTCAGGGCACTGAGGACTGCCCGGTCCAGGGCCTGTTCCCCATGCCGTCTAGCTTTGTGGGTGCAGTGTCTGTTCCCCATGCCGTCTAGCTTTGTGGGTGCAGGGCCTGTTTCCCATGCCGTCTAGCTTTGTGGGTGCAGGGCCTGTTCCCCATGCCGTCTAGCTTTGTGGGTGCATGGTCCTGTTCCCCATGCTGTCTAGCTTTGTGGGTGCATGGTCCTGTTCCCCATGCTGTCTAGCTTTGTGAGTCCAGTGTCTGTTCCCCATGCCGTCTAGCTTTGTGGGTCCAGTGCCTGCTTCCTATGCCGTCTAGCTTTGTGGGTCCAGTGTCTGTTCCCCATGCTGTCTAGCTTTGTGGGCCCAGTGTCTGCTTCCTATGCCGTCTAGCTTTGTAGATGTGGGCCATGTGCTGCCCCGCCTGTCCTTTTTTTTTTGTCCGGTCGTGGGGCCTGAACTCTGGGCCTGGGTGCTGTCCCTCAGCTCTTCAGCTCAAGGCTAGCGCTCTACCACTTGAGCCACAGCGCCACTTCTGTTTTTTTCTGCTTATGTGGTGCTGAGGAATTGAACCCAGGGCCTCAGGCATGTGAGTCACTTTGCCAGCCCCCCACCTGTTCTTAGAGCAAGATGTGGGTTAAGCAGGCAGGAATTCCCCATGGTGGGGGTGTGCCCCCCATGGGGCGGACTAGGGCAGGGTTGGCAGATCTTCTGTCCCCAGGCTCTGGTGGGAGGGGCCATGGGGCTGGGAGGTGAGCAGGCATCATAGCCTGCCACCTGCAGGGACACCTCAGGCAGTCCCTCCCAGCCTCATTGCTCCTGGAGGCCAAGTGTGTGGAAGCGCTCCCTAGGAGAGGTGGGCCCTTCTGAAAAGGTGTGCCTCTGGGGGCCCTGCTAGGACTCTTCATTTCATACTTCTGACCTGCAAGTTTGCCAAGTGCTCTCTTCTCTCTTACTCAGACAACGCTGCATGCCCACCATGGACCTCAACATTCAGTGTGAGCAGCTGAGCGACTCCCGGTGGGCTGAGCTCCTGCCCCGCATCCAGCAGTGCCAGTGGGTCAGGTAAGGCTCCCGGGGGCCTGGAGGCCACGGGACGGCGGGGAGGCTGACTCCTCCCGCGGTGGAGGTCAGAGGCCGAGTGCTCCTGCGCAGCTCCGGGACCCGTCACGCGAGGACACAAAGCCGCTTCCGGTCCTTTCTGATGGTACAAAATGCTGGGTGTGAGATGAGCCACCCACCAGTGGCTCGCCTCAGCACAAAAGGTCTTCTTTTTTTGGGTCTGGTCATGGGGCCTGAACTCTGGGCCTGGGCACTGCCCCTCAGCTCTTCAGCTCAAGGCTAGCGCTCTACCACTTGAGCCACAGCACCATTTCCGGCTTTTTTCTTTGTGCTTATGTGGTGCTGAGGAATTGAGCCCAGGGCCTCAGGCATGCGAGGCAAGCGCTGCATCCCTGAGCCAGCTTCCCAGCCCAGCCCAGGGCCTCAGGCATGCGAGGCAAGCGCTGCATCCCTGAGCCAGCTTCCCAGCCCAGCCCAGGGCCTCAGGCATGCGAGGGAGCGCTGCATCCCAGCCCAGCCCAGGGCCTCAGGCGTGCGAGGCTTCCCAGCCCAGCCCAGCCCAGGGCCTCAGGCATGCGAGGCTTCCCAGCCCAGCCCAGCCCAGGGCCTCAGGCGTGCGAGGCTTCCCAGCCCAGCCCAGCCCAGGGCCTCAGGTGTGCGAGGCTTCCCAGCCCAGCCCAGCCCAGGGCCTCAGGCGTGCGAGGCTTCCCAGCCCAGCCCAGCCCAGGGCCTCAGGTGTGCCAGGCTTCCCAGCCCAGCCCAGCCCAGGGCCTCAGGCGTGCGAGGCTTCCCAGCCCAGCCCAGCCCAGGGCCTCAGGCGTGCGAGGCGAGCGCTGCATCCCTGAGCCAGCTTCCCAGCCCAGCCCAGGGCCTCATGCATGGGAGGCAAGCGCTGCATCCCTGAGCCAGCTTCCCAGCCCAGCCCAGGGCCTCAGGCGTGTGAGGCGAGCGCTGCATCCCTGAGCGCAGCTTCCCAGCCCAGCCCAAAAGTTCTTGAGGTCAGCAAGCAGCTGTGCTTGTCCTTACCACAGAGCAGGAAGCATAAATCTGATTGAGACAAAGCAAGACCCTATCCTAAAAATAACCAAAGCAGAAAGTTCTGGAGTTACAGCTCAAGAGGTAGAGTGCTTACCTAGCATTCAGAAAGCCTTAAGTTCAAACCCCAGAACCACCAAGAAAACAAAACAAAACAAAAAAACTAATCTGGGAATTGGTAGCTCATACTTGTAATCCTAGCTACTTGGAGGCTTAGACCTGGAAGATGTAATTGAAAGCCAGCTCAGGTAGAGAAGTCTGTGAGACTCCATCTCCAATTAACCAACAGAAGCCAGGCTGGCTGAGTGGCTCATGGCCTGTGGTAGAACACCAGCCAAGCAAGCCAGCTGAGTGTGATGCTCTGTGAGTTCGAGCCCTGGCTCAGGCGGCAGCGTGCCTACCTTGCCAGGCCCTTCCTGCAAATCCCAGGTACCAAAACAGCAGGGTAGTAACTACCTAGCTGCTGGGGAGGCAGCGCACCGGTAGACTGCCTGCCCGGTGTGGGCATGGGGAACTGCCTCCTCTGGAGACCGCGGGCAGGAAGGCCGGTGGCTACCACAGCGGCTGCCTGGCCCTCCTCCACAGCGAATGGGAGTTAGGGTCAGTTGTTCTCCAGGCTCTAAGAAACCCACAGACATAAAACAGGGGTTTCCCTGGTCCCGCCTCCCCCTCTAGCTGCTGTCTGGGATGAGGTCACGTGGGTGTCTGTCTCGGGGAGACACCCAGGCTGTCCCAGCCACTAGCTGTCCTTTACCCGTCCCTGCCCGTGGGGTGCTGCCCGCGGCGCACTTGTCCTGGAGGCCTGCCTGGGGCATCGGGGCTTGTCTGAGGCTTTCTCATGGTTGCACATTTTTGGCAAGCAGACAGATGCTGTGGGTCCTTTCTGGCTACCGTGTCCTGTCCCGATGTGTATTGGCCCCACAGGGGTCAGGGTCCCTGTCCTGCTGGGCTTCTCCACGGGCTCTGAGTCCCTGAGCAGCCAGTGGGGTCATCGGAAACTCTGCCCAAACCTGTGTCCACTCAGCTCTTCGCTGCTCGCCTCAGCCCTTGTTGTGGCTCTTGCTGGTCATAGACGGTGCCTTTGTCATTTCTGTGTGTCCGCTCCATGTGGCTCTTGCTGGTCATAGGCGGTGCCTTCGTCATTTCTGTATGTCCGCTCCATGTGGCTCTTGCTGGTCATAGGCGGTGCCTTTGTCATCTCTGTGTGTCGCTCCATCCATCTGTCGTCATTTTTCTTGGTAGGAACTGCCTGTCCTACTTGCATGTCTCCCGTTTTTCATAGTTGGGATGGACGCGAAAGCGCTTCATGTCGCTGAATTACAGTTACTGTCTGTCCAGTGCTCAGGGGTGTAGCTGGCGGTGGGGCACCTCAGACGCTTTCGCCTCGCTCTGACTCGCCTCCTCGTTCTCAGAGCACTTCCTGGGGCCACGCTTCCCGCCCGTGCCACAGGGTCTTGTGCTCTGTACACTTCAGGCATGGAGGCTCCTGACATGTCAGACACACACGGAGCGCTCCTAACATGTCAGACACACGGAGGCTCCTAACATGTCAGACACACAGAGGCTCCTGACATGTCAGACACACGGAGGCTCCTGACATGTCAGACACACACGGAGGCTCCTGACATGTCAGACACACATGGAGCGCTCCTAACATGTCAGACACACGGAGGCTCCTAATATGTCAGACACACGGAGGCTCCTGACATGTCAGACACACGGAGGCTCCTAACATGTCAGATACACATGGAGCGCTCCTAACATGTCAGACACACGGAGGCTCCT